TGGATGGAGATTTGTCGTAATCCTGCCTTGTATGATCCATTGCCACTGCAGACCTTGAACATACCTACGCCTGATATTCATGCCTTTCCTATGGAAACAGATGCCATTCTCAAACAAAAAGCTTTCACCAAGCGTGCGGAACTGCTACCGCTGCAGTGGAAACCACCCGTCTCACGCACTGACTTGAATAAATGGGCTGCAACACCGGAAGATTTTGCATTGATTTTCTCCTTTTGGACCAGAACCACACTTGCACAATCTCCGCATGCTGTTGCCATCAAGACGTGGTCACAAGCTCTTGCTATTTTTGTACAAGTGGGAGGTAAGACTGCCCCATTTCTGACTGTTTGCCAAAACGTCGGCATGGCAGCCTATTAATTTAAGGCACTTTCCATGCATTTGCTCAACAAAACACTTGAGCAAAGTCAGCATTTCAGTTTATATGATCCGCCTTTACCCAGTAAGTGGCTGCCATTTCTGCCTCTTGAGCTTAGTTTCCCTCACGACATTTATTTTACGCATTCTTGGGATCTTACGAATGCAGCGCAGAACCTGCATCAGCTTAATATGGCTATTCGTATTAATCACCATTGCAATGCCACTGCAATTCGCATTGCGACGGCTGATTTTGTTGACGCTATTCCTCAACTCCAATGCTTCCTCAGAAAGGACGCCCTTGACGGCTCCTGGCTTATTCCCAACTTTGCTCACAAGATGCCGCCGCCGCCTTGGGTTGATTCTGTGCTTGAACTTCGCAAAAACCCGATGATTGTTTTGGAACGCATTAATTCTATCACACAAATTTCTCTCAAGGATTGGGTGAATCTCACGGCCGATGAAATCCGCGCCAAAATTCCAAAAGCACCTGGAGCTAAAGGCCGATTCAAGGCTGCACTTAACAGGTATACCCATTTCAAAAATGCTCTTGCCACCTTCCTTCGGCTCCAAATGTCGGACACGCACCCGAAGGCTCATGTCGTCCAGCCTTGCTGGAGTGACAACGAAGCATGTTTTTTCTGTCATAGATTTATGCGATTCTCTGCTGAGCCCAGCAAAATTACGCGTTCTTGTACCAGTCCTGGAATCATTTCTGATTCCTTGGCTGCTGACTGGCTGCAGCAATTTGATGACATCCTTCTTAATATTAGAAACGTCCTGAACAAGATTTGCTGAACTTTCCTTCGCCATTTGTTGCCTTTTGCCCTCTAACTAGTTGCCTGATCCGACCTGAGTGTAATACACACTCCGTCTCACCTTAAACGCTAACGACTTTTGTCCGCATTCACCTCAAAAGGACTTCAAAATGATATTGGTAATCAGGGAGGCCCCTGTAGTAGGAGCTTTTGGTTTTAGGTCTGGAGTTGAGGGTTCAGGGATTGGAGTTCCGAGTTCAGGGTTAATGAGTTTAGGGCCCAGGGTTTGGTTTTGGGGTCTAGAGTTTGGGGCGTGGGGGGCGAACAGAGTTCAGCGTTTAGAGCACAGCGTCAAGGAGGGTTTTGGAGTTTAGGGCTTAGGGTTTAAAGTTTAGGATTTGGAATTCAGGGTTTACGGGCTGGGGTTTGGGGCTATGTTCTGACTTGTTATTCTTTGACAGGTGTCCATAAACAGGGAGAACATTCCCCAAGATTTTGTGAACGGACCCCATGTAAGCCTTCTTTCTCTGTGTTCTCGTACATCCTAGGAGCCCCTTTAAATTCAGAAAATGCCCCACCTTGAAGAAGGTCAGGACGAGGAAGTGCGATGCCATCCCCATAATATCAAACCAAGAACAAAACAGGGTTGAGGGTTTAGGGTATTACACTATATAATGCTAGTGCTCTCTTGCTATATGAGCTATTGTCTACACTCCTAGTATCCCCCTTAATAAGCCCTATGATACTCCCCCATATAACCCCACTTCAAGGAGTTAAGACCGTAAACCGTAAACCCTATTTAATCCGCTATATGACCACCCTTTAGGGAGTTTAGACTGTTGCTCATATTGGGAAGAACGAGTTTCTGTGCGGGAGGAGAGAGAGCGGGGGTTTAGGGTTTAGGGTTTGGGGTTTGGGGTTTAGGGTTTAGGGTATCAGGGCGAGGGGAGCGCTCAAAACGCAGGTGACGTCGCCCAACAGCTGGGGTCGGGCTCTGGTGGAGGCCAAAGAGTGTCAAGACGAGAGTTCGCTAATATTAATCCTAATACGACTAGTAATAAGAACAGTGATGATAATAATAGTAGTAATGATAGATATAATAGTGACAGTAATAACAGCAGTGATAGTAGTAATCCTCTCCCCCCTATAACGATCCCTCCCACTCCCTCTGAGACTACATGTTCCCTTTTTCAAGCGTATATAGGTATTATGTTGGGAATATTTATGACTAGTGGAGCGGTTTTATTCGTACTGCTTGGTGACAGCCATCCCTAGAAATAATCCATAGAATCCCTCCCTTCCCCCATTCCCTACAAAGCACCAGGGAGTAGTGCCGTGTGCTAATGAGCAGAGATCATCTTGATCAGGAACTTCCTGAAGCAGTTCTGCCTCAGGACTGTTGATTTTGACTGGCAGAACAAGGTTGCTGGTTTAGGGTTTCAGGTTCAAGGTCTTCGTTTGTTCCCCAATCCCAGACTCTTTTCAGGGGCCCAATACCGTAGATCTATAGAATACGCCAGGATATTATTGAGTAACTTCTGAGAGGCAGGACGCGCTTCCCAGATCCCCCCACAAGTTTGGGATTCAAAAGACCTGTTCAACCACAGGCCAAGAACTAGCAACAGCACCGGCAAAAGGTTGTTCTTATTCTTTCAGGATCTTCTGAACCTGGACCCTAAGCCCTAGATCCTGAAATTAAAGCCCTTCAGGATCTTTTGAACCTGGACCCTAAACTCTGAAATCCCAAATCTTCAGGATCTTCTGAACTTGGAAGCAGATGGCCGCACGGCAAGTGCAAACCGACTTGCAGAGCTGATGGTCCCATGCTCGAAGTTCTGTGTTGGCATGAGGCTGTGATTTTTAGGGTGTTATTATTGAGAATCCTGCATGACCTCAGTATATGGGTTTTACATCAAAAAACGGTTTTGGAGATTTGTAGGGGCCTACTTACGGGTTTAAAGGGATGTGTGGTACCATGATTCCTAAGGTTAGGGGTACGTAGGGGTATGCAAGAGTTTTTGCATTGACCGAATTGCTGCATGTGCTCTGTACGGCTCAGTTTGCTTGATTTGCAAGGCGAGCATGGACACCGCAGTAACAGCCGCACAACGGGAAGCTGAGGAGATGTAGCTTGGGACTGGATGTAAGGTTTAGGCTTTAGGGCTTAGGGTTGTCCTCCATACTTGAAAATACAGGGACCCCGATAAATAGACCCCAAAATACAAAAGACCTTCTTGTAGGGACCCCAAAAGGGGACCCCCAATCAGCAGAACCCCAGGCCCTAAGCCCGCAACCCGAACCCTTTTTCTCTTCTGAAATTATGCTGTGAGGACACAGACGAGAAGAGCGAGTCGGACGGCGAGGACTCTGCCAGTGCGGGGTTTTGGGGTATCCCATGGAGGTATGCTTTGATCTATTCTTCCTCTTCTTCTTCTTTTGGATTCTTGTTCTTATTCTTATTTGTATTAATATTCTTGTTATTGTTATTGTTGTTGTTTTATTGTTGTTATCTACTGTTATCATGGCTTCAGGGTTGGGGTCTAGGGGATATGTGCAGGATAGGGTTTCGGGCTCAGGGGATTGGGGTTAGGGTACCCTAAGCCCTAAACCACAGGGATTCTTCGGTTGTTGAGGCAGCTGAGGGTGTCGAACTACGTTTGCGGTTGCTGTTAAAGCGCCGTAGAGTCTGATGTGGCAAGCGTTGCGGGCGAACCAATGGATGATGACTGATTTTCTCCTTGCACCTAGTGCAGACCTAAAAGTCCGAGGGGATAGGGTTTTTAACAGCCGCTGCCAGGAAGGGCCGCTGATGTGGACACATGAGCAAGAAGACGCTGGCTGGAGAGGGTTCCGGGTTTAGGGTTGAGGTTTCAGGGCAGTCCCCATTTTAGGGTTTAAGGCAGTCCGCATTTTGGGGTTTAGGGTGTAGGGCAGTCCCCCACTTTAGGGTTTAGGGTTTATGGCCCTTACACTCCTCAGCTATTCTTACAATTACTAAAGCTCTCACTGCCTCAACCATAGAATTAGTAAGGATGTGACGGAGAGCCTGGGCGAGCTCACAAGAGACAGCTGGCTGCAACGCCTCGACGAAGTGGCGGTGACCCTGCAAGGCCTGGCCATTGATGTGAACTGTAGTCTAAACTCCTTGAAGGGGGAATATGTACCCAGACCCCCTAAAGGATCCAAAAAATGGAACCCTCTAGTAATCCCCTAGGTTCTCCCGTGTAGTAATGGGCACATATTGGGGGGTTCCATTTTTTGGATCCTTTAGGGGGTTTGGCTAGGGGAGTATCATAGGGCTTACTAATGGGGATATTGGAACTTCAGACTGTAGCTCAGATTGGTCACCTCAAGGGGGGTGTTGGGGAATGTATACGGCTGATCAGGGATCTGCTGGCGCATATAGGGTTCGTGCGGATCCTGTTGTGGGAGTGTCCTTGCTATAGATCATGGTATTTGGGGTTTAATGTTTAGGGATTAGGGTTTAGGGTAAGGGGATTCTCTATTACCATGCGCGGAAGCAGCCTGCATGAGTATTGCATTCCAGGTTTAGGATCTAGGTTGCTCTGACTGCCTGGTGCTTAGTGAGAGGGCAAGACGGGATCCCTAAACCCTAGATCCCGAAACCCACTCCTAAGCACCAGGGAGTCAAGTTGCTTCAACCCCTGCTGAAGCGGGATGTTTAAGGTTCAGGGTTTAGAGCCATTCCCGCCCCGACTATCAATAACTGTATTAGAAGTATTTGTTGGGTGCATTGTGTAAGGGGAAGGGGATGAGAGTCGGCAAGGATAGGGTGCGAATTCACTCCGCAAACCCAAAAAGCCTTAATCGTGTGATTTCTTTTCCTTTCTGCCCCACGGCCCGAGTCTTCGATCCTGGTCCGGGTGTTTGCCCTTGTTCGGATACAAGTCCATATGGTGGTATCATGTATTTGTCTTCCTGGATATGATGACTCTGCTGGTTCTACTTAGGCCGTTCATGAGAGACGATTGATGTTGGCCAGTGGCAATCTGGGAGTTTCCTGAAGCTGAACCCCAAACCTGAACCCTAAACCCTATACTTGTGTACACCTCTGTACTGCTTAATGGGGGACTGGTAGATTTTTCTTTATATGCCTTGGTTTCACGTGGTATCCCCATTTGGTGGAAACAGCGAAACACCAATATGTCAGTTTTGATTGCAAAGTATCATCTCTCATTGCATTGTCAGCTTGGTGGGGAAGCCCATGTTAAGATCAAGTCATATCCTATGGTTGATATATCTACTGTTATAAATGGCACTTGTTTTTCGCAAAATACACGACTGGGAGCCTAAATTCTGAATCCGTACATAAGCCCAGTTCCTTTTGATTTTCCGTTTGCTCTCCGTTTGATTTTCCATAATCCCTAAACCCAATTGCACTTGGCAGGGGTGCCCGTCTGCACTTCGCCGCAGTCTGCAGAGGTTGCAGCTGCTTGGACACAGAGCTTGAGGGTGTAGTCCGGTCTCAATCCAGCGGTAAGCTACAAATCCCAAAGCCTTTAAGCCCTCAACCCCACATTCCGAACTCTTAGCTCTAAACCCCTAAGCTCTGAGTGCTAAACTCCGGCAGCCTTCAATCCCAAACCGTTAACCTAAAAAAACCCAAAGCCCCAAAACTCTAAAGCCCAGATTCCTCAAGCCGTGAAGTCCTAAATCCTAAACCCTAAACCCTAGGTGTGCCCATCCCTGGCAGTGGCTTACGCAGCTTTGAGCTTTCTTTCTTTGGAGAGGACCAGGGTTTAGGGTTTAGGCCGTCTTGCTGCGCGGCGGCTGGAGGTAACATGTAGGAATGGCGCCCCGACACACCCAGGGGTGTGGGCGGGCGGCATTTCTTGCGGCGGCACATCTCCCGTGCCCAACAAACCAAGAATTGGTGTCTTGTTTATTCTTCGCACTGCTTACGCAGGCATCCGCCCAACTTTATTCCTTTTCGGGTTAAACTATCCTAAAGAAGAACGGGCCCGCTGCAGGCATGGCCTCCAAGTGCCTCCGAGGGCATGGCCCCCGCTTCCAACGGCTTCAAAAGCTTCGAAACCCCGAGGCCTCTGCGAAGGCCTTCGAAGGTCTCCAAGGCCTCCCTGACCGGAGCCTTCCAAGGACCAACACGCCAATCAAGGAAGTCGAGGGGCTGTTAGCGCCTCTGAGGGTCTCTGAGGGCTGGGGGGCCCTGGACATCTGGGGGGGGCTCGAGACTGTTTTTGGGGCAGATGGGGTTTGGTAGCGGGTTTCGCATTATTTTGGGCTCCGTCCTATAGGGTTTAGGGTTTAGGTTTTAGGGTTGGGAACATGGTCATGCGAGTAACTCCGTCTCTGGGATCATTGCGGGAGATCTCTCAGGAATATCCTAGCGCTATTGCAAGAATGTGGTGGTGGTGGTGGTGGTGGTGGTGGTGGTGGTGGTGGTGGTGGTGGTGGTGGTGGTGGTGGTAGTAGTAGTAGTAGGAGTAGTAGTAGGATGTAATAGTAGTAGAAGGATGTAATAGTAGTCTCTTGCCTATCGAGATCAACATGTCCAAAAGGGGTTTGCCCTTTCCAGGAAGATCGAGTTCTTCAAAAAGGAGGACTGGGACCTCACAAAGCGTTTGGAGGCCAAAGCATGACCCTAAACCTTAAACCTTAATTGTTCAAAGCATGAATACTATCGTTGTTGCTGTTATCTTTGTTGCAGGAGGGAGTTTCAAATGACCATCTTTGGCTCAAAGGTTTAGGGTTCAGGGTCTCAAGTTCATGACGGATTGTGATTTATTAGTGAGTCCAAGTTGTGAAGGTCCTGGAGAAACAGATGGCCGAAGCGCAGGGAATGGCTCGTGCTCGCAAGGCCCTTGCTGGTGTCTGGGCCCTGGACCCACATTTACCCCACATAACGAAGATTCTGGCTGTGTGGATCCTTGCTACCCCGATACCCTAAAGCCTTTATCTATTTGTTGTGAGAAAGGGCAAGAAGGGGACTAGCTCAGGTCTTCCTGGACAAGTCCGACAGCTAGGGCACGAAGCTCGTGCAGTGGAGCCCTATCTCCTTGCATGGCCTCCAGTTTAGGAGTACGGTGTCCCCTCATCAGCAAGCATAGCCCATAAAAACGATAGGTAGTGTGGGTTACAATTCGCATCACTAGATTCCATTTCATTCTCGATATGCTTGTCCATTTGGTCCTCCTGTATTGCGGGGTAATACCCTCAAATCCTGAACCCTGAACCCCAAACCCCAAACCCTGAACCCTGAACCCTAAACCCCAAACCCTCAACCCAATGTGGGTTACAGTTCAGTTTTCCGTGGAGTGGAAAGCCATCGCCTGACTGAACCTGGCTTGTGGGAACAAAAGGGTTTAGGGTTTAGGGTGTGCTCTTGACGGCTGGAATGTGTCGTTTAGCGCGGAGAACACAGGCTGCAAATTCCCGTAACGAAGCCCCAGAAATTCTGTGATGTATGGACCATATCATTATTCTTATTGATATTGATTACTATTTTTCCTATGGTTAGTATTCCTCTTATGAATACTGTTCTTATTGTTGCTATTAGTATCATTATAATTACCACTACTACTACTACTGCTGCTGCTGCTACTACTACTACTACTACTACTGTTACTGCTACTATTATTTTTATTTCTATTATGATGTGCCGAGCTTGGAGCAAGCTGTCCGATATTCACTTGAGCAAGTGCCTGCAGCTGTTCTGGCTGGCATGCAGCCACTGCTTTGTGCGTTTCATTCAACCCACCACCTAGCACCCAACTATCGATCGGCACATAGGTTGCTTCTACTACGAACTGAGAGTGAGGCTGTCGCAAATTGTCCTTCTTCTTGGTTCTTCCTAGGGAATAAGGGGATGCAAGCCCTATATGATCCCTATATTCCCTTATTCCCTACCGAGAACCAGTGAGGAATAGACCTTAAACCCTAAACCCTAGTTTCCATTTCATTTCCGTTTGCTCTTCCATTCAATTCTCCATTATAAGGGGGTAATATCCCCAAACCCTAAATAGGGTGAACCAGCGAACTTTGGGTGCCTTGCATGAAGTGGCTACTTGCCTTCCCACTTGCTGCAGCCTCCGAGACTGCCCAGCGATGCGACTTCGAAGTCGTTCAGGCAGTGTCTTGGCTTGGCTGCACCCTAAACCCTACACCCCAAACTCCAAACCCTACACCCTAAACCCCAAACCTTGTACCCTTAACCCTAAACCCCAAACCCTAAACCCCAAATCCCCCATAACAAAACAAAAAACAAATCCTACACCCAAGACTTAAACCTTTGACTGCACCTGTCCTTGCTGCCGTAGTCTGAGTCAAAGACGGGGTTTTAAGAATGCGGACCAATCGGTCCCTGTAAGGATGATTATAGGTGCTCTGTGGCAATTTCCACAATTAAGGACAAGCTGCGCCCCGGCTTCGAAAACGAGTATACGCATCCCATCCTCATCCAGGGCACTCCTTGGAACAGAGGCTTACTGGTTGTTAGTACGGAAGAAGGGAATATACTATTTAGGAGCAGAATTATATGAGGGACTATATACGGATAGAATTAAGCAATCAAATAAAGGGATTGTATACGGAAGTAGGGAGAGAGTACATAAAGGGATTATACAGGGAATTATGAAGGACTTAACTCCGTTATTCTTCTACTAGCCTCCAGTAAGGAGAGCAAGCGTCGCTAGCCTCCTTCCGGCGTGTATTTGGCAACTACACCGTGCGCTTGACCCGCAACCTGGAGTCTCTGGGCGGCTGCTACGGAACTTTGATTACATTTGTGGATCTGTATATATACATATGAGCTATAGTCTAAACTCCTTAGAGGGAGTTACATAAGGGATTATATAGGGGAGTGTTATAGGGGTTAGTAAGGGGCCACCAGGAGTTTGGATTAGCTCAGGTAAATATAGATATTTATGTATATCTAGAGTAAGCAATAGAGTGTTCTTATAGTCGTAGCTTAATTTAAGTTCCTCAACAGCAAGCCAGGTTTCAATCCAGAGCGGGCGTGAAGCCTGAAGCAAACACGAGTACCTATGACGCTTGGGCAGACTCGCTTTTCCATCAGGAGAGTGTTCCTTATGTCTTCGAGTTCTGCAACAGAGACCTCTGTCAGCAAATTGAGTCTACCTTTGGTATCCCAACCTACCTGAAGAATTCCTGCCTTTCGCTGTACCTGAATACGGGGACGGTAGCAAAGGGAGTGGCCTTTCACCAGCACCGGCAGACTTGGGGATGGCTGCTTGCTGGGCAGAAAGTCTGGTATGTCGCTCCGCCAGGGACGCTGCCTTTCCAACCGCACAGACATGTGGAAGAGGGCAAGCTACAAAGGTCCAGTGTGCAACGCTGTTTCCAAGAGGAAGGGGAGATTGTGTTTCTTCCACAGGATTGGTGGCATGCTACTTTCAACAAGGCTGAGTGGAACCTCGCTATAGGAGGTCAGGGGGACATTAGCAGCAACGCGTTTGAAGCAGTGCGAGGGGCAGATGCTGCAAAGATTCGCAAATTGCCCAAAGAGGACGCCCCGCGCGGACATGGCATGCTGCAAAGCCTCTGAGCCCAACAAGCACTCTTGAGCGAACCCAATGCCGTCAAAATGATTCATAAATCACGAACTAGTGGTGGTTGTAGTTGTTGTAGACATAGCAGCGGCCTACCGGTGGCGGTGGTGGTGCGGGTGCTGGTGCTGGTGCTGGTGCTGGTGCTGGTGCTGGTGCTGGTGCTGGTGCTGGTGGCGCTGG